GCACTGTGTTGGCTTTTTTGGCAGCTGCAGCACACTGCTGGCTCATATTTAAGTGATTGTCCACTAGGACTCCGAGATCCCTCTCACAGTTACTACTATTGAGCAAGGTACCCCCTATACTATACCTGTGTATTTGGTTTTTCTTGCCTAAATGTAGAACCTTACTTTTTTCACCATTGAATTTCATTTTGTTAGATAGTGCCCAGTGTTCAAGTCTGTCCAGATCCTCCTGTATCCTAAGCCTGTCTTCTGGCTATTCCTGCCAGCTTGGTGTCGTCTGCAAATTTGATGAGTTCCCCATCTATCCCCTCGTCCAAATCGTTGATGAAGATGTTGAAGAGCACTGGGCCCAGAACAGAGCCCTGGGGCACCCCACTACACACTTCCCTCCATGTAGATGCGGTTCCATTGAGGACCACACGCTGAGTACGGCCAGTCAGCCACCTACGGATCCATCTGGTGGTGATGCTGTCTAACCCATATTTTTCTATCTTATCAAGTAGTAGTTTGATCTACTTTGTCAAATGCCTTACTGAAGTCCAAGTAAATTATATCCACAGCATTCCTCTGGTCCACTAATTTTGTCACTTGGTCAAAGAATGCAATAAGATTTGTCTGGCATGATCTATTTTTGACAAACCCGTGTTGGCTTTTAGTAATGACTTTGTTTGCCTGTAGGTGTTCGCTGATTCGTTGTTTGATTATCTTTTCCAGAATCTTCCCAGGTATTCAGGTCAGGCTGATGGGTCTGTAATTTCCTGGGATAGAACCTTGTAGGGTAGGCAAGGTGGGTTGTATGACATGTGTGAGTTCCGGCACTTTTTTTTTTTTTTTTACAAAAAAAGCACTGATTGTATGACACTTACTCCTTTTGATTTATTCAATAAGCCATGATTCAGTGTGTGCACATCAAGATGATATTTCAACCTGAAAGTTTCTACAATTGCAGATTACAGAAATGACCACCTACATTAGAGATGATTTACTACAGATGAACAAAATTTACATAATGGATTATAAATAGTTTTGCTCTCTTTCTCTCCCCCCTTTCTCCTCCCTTCTCCCATACCTAGGTAGTTCCCACAGTTTTAGAAACTCTTTGTGAACTAGGCAAAAGTCATGGGGCATCATCATTAAAAAATAATGAACCAGACTTAAGGATTTCAGATTCTCTACAACAACAACAACATCTTCTGGAGCAGCTGCGAAAGTGGGAAGAAAAGATGGATACAGTTTAGAAACTAGCTACACTGTACTGTACTGCATGCTGCATTCTTCTATTCTACAGCAGAATGACATTTTGTCTTTCCTGTGAAAAGGTGAAACACCAAGAACTGAAATGTAGCCTGAAATTCTATTGGACTTTTTGAGTTAAATTGTTTCCCTCCTCCTGCCAGCCTTCTGTTTTGGGGCCTACGTACTGTCTAAATGTTTAAAAGTTTGTTTCTTGTGTATTTGATCTAATTAAACATTGCTTCATTTTATCTTGATATGCTGCTTTTCTCCTTTTCTTGCTGAGATACAATAGGTTTAATATTACACAAATCACATTTTTCATCTGATTTAAATAATCTAGACATATGGAAAATTCAATAGCTTTTTTACTGTTTTGTCTATTTTATACAAACTTGATTTTTTTTTTAAATCGCCAGCAGTTTGGCACTTAAAAGACTTATTTGTTGGAATTTTTGTCAAACTAGTATTGCACAGGTTTAGTTCCACTATTATTTGCGTCCTTATCAAATCTTACCAAAAGTCAGTCTTTAATCCTGTTGCTACTCTTGCAATTTGCTTCTCAGCTTGATATTACTTCTTTGTCATCTCAATTGGAAAGTGTGTATTACAATCCATGATTGATGGATGTCATAATCCAATGTATTTGGAGGGCGTGGCACACTATTACCCACCTGTTCTAATTAACTGTTTCCTGTACAGTGTATTCCTATGCTTGGAATTTTCTTTTTGCTTTCTTCTAAAATGTACTTATTTATGATTAAATTTATTTGTCGCCTGTGTTACTGTGGGGCTGCTCTGGGTGGCTTACAACAGACCATAAATTATTTTTTAAAAAATGTTAATATAACAATAGTAAAACAATGAAGTGCAGCAATATGAGTTAAAAGATGGGCCCGAAGGGAGCAGGATGCACAGTGGGAGGGGGAGGAAATTGGGTCAGCTGTTGGTCCAGTAGCCACCTGCAATGTGGAACTCCCAGGATTGGGAGGACTTTCTCAATTCAAACCAAATTAATATTGTTATTTCAAAGTATAGTTTTTATATTCTTTTCCAATGGAGTGCTTAATTTTGATATGGCACCCTCTGGTTGTGTTTAATTTCATCTCTCGGAATACCTAGCCTAGGGACCCATGGCATTTAGAGATTATGGTAATTAAAGCTGATTGCATCTGGAAGGTTGAGAACTGCAATAAAGCCCTTTCTGGGTGGTTCTTAACTCTGCATTGGCACATGAAACTAAGCTAAGAATCCTAGCTTAATCCGTGACTGAAGAACAGTCACCCCACTTGGCACATTACCAGGGCTTTTTTTCTCATAGAACGCCCAGAACGGAGTTCCGGCACCTTTTTTGGATGGAACCTTGTAGGGTAGGCAAGGCGGGTTGTATGACGTGTGTTAGTTCTGGCACCTTTTTTTTTTTTTAACAAAAAAAGCACTGCACATTACTAAGCCAGGAAGAAAACATGTTATGCACAAATTCAAGAATATGGTTGAATGCACCTTAACAGGCCAAGATTTGTAAGTTAATCATAGGAGTGGCTAAAATTATCTTAAAGCATCTTAACTTCTTAGCTTAGCTTAGCATATCTGTGATCTGAGATTCACATAACACAAAGCAATCTACCAGCTATGTGAAATGAAGAATGAATAGATGCATGTACCAGTAGGTTATACATATGCATTATTGTTAAAAAAAAAAAAAAAAAAAGTCTTTGCGTCAGTGTTGCCCCCTGCTGACTGCCTGGATAAGTCTCTGCAGTTTTCTTGGCAAGATTTCAGAAATGGTTACCATTTTCTCCTTATAATTCAGAATGACTGGCCCAAAGGTCGCCTAGTTGGGTGTAATAAGGATTAGAACTCGCGGGTTCCTGGTTTCTAGACCAGGACTCTAATCTCTACAGCAGTCTGGCTCTAAAATTTATTGTACAATAAATATATTTAATTATAAATTAAATAGATTGGAGGGAAAGACTATTCTCTACCTAGCTTCAACTTCTAACTCATCATGATTTTAAAAACAGGAACAAGAGTTGCTAAGCAGTAGAAACAGTAAAATATGGGGATGGTAGTTCTATTAGACCAAAGCAATAACTGAAACATACCTCAACCCTGGCGACTTAAATCATGTATCTTGCAGACATAAATTCCAAACATTATACACTCTGGAGTAAAGCTTTTATTTTATTCATTCCAGTCTTCTGCCAGGATAGATTCTGCAGAATAATCCAGCAGATAATAAATCTGGGTAGAAAACACTTACCTGGGCCCCAAATGTGTATGTTTCTTCTGTGTTCACTTCTCATGTTTTATTTTTCTATTCTAAAAAATCCTAAACATTCTTGCCATTTCTTATTAAGTACTGCAAATGTCTGGTCCAAACTGGTAAAGCAACATGATTGTTTATGTTCAAATGTCCATATTGCTCTTCAAAGTATCTCTTTTCCCAGCAGTTTCACATGGTATTTCTTCCAGTAGTCCTCTTCCACAAGTCAGGCCCTATGCCATTTCAGTTAGTCTCCCTGCCTTCCCTAACAGACAAAAACACCCAAGCAAGAATGTATGTTCTTTAAGCAGAGAAAGAGCAGCATTCATTATTCAGAAACTGTATTTTTCCACCAGTTGTGACTATAGATGCATAAGCTTATCACGCAGCAACCACCTTGAAGATAGATACAAGAAATTACCCAATTCTCCATCTTAAGGTCTGACTCTCCTTTTCAGAAAATATTTGCTGTGATCTTGACTGATATCCTTACTGTTTTGGGCCAAATCTTGCAATTTGTCAGCATGTTCCCCACACTCTTAACCCACTTTTACAAGTTTTCAGGCATTCTTATCAGATATCTATTTACCCTAATTCCTGTGGATATATTTCTTTGATATGTAAATACTACAAATAAAAGTGGCTTTATAGGCCATTAGGTTGAATCCTATTCAAAATGGGACCTTCAGAAATAAAGCAAATCCAAAATGACTGTTCAGAGTCCAATGATCTCCAACAAGCAGACCTAGATACCATGGTAATCTCACCAATTCTCTGGTTGAACTGCCCTTACCTTTGAGAATTTTGTCCTAATGTTTGCCTACTCTATCACAGATCTAGTTGTGCATTGCAGTCATTACCCTTTTCATTTGTGAAGTTATCTTTCACTTTTCTTTTATTGGTCTCATTTTCCTTTCTGTTCACAATTTGAGTTTCTTTCTTCTGAACTACTTCTATTTTCAGACAAGCATACGCTTTGGACTACACTAAGCGGACACAGGATTTTGCTATGGAGAACTTAAGTGCCTCTAGCAGGATATTTCCATGAACAGCTAAGAGTGGAAATCAGTACTATTTAAAACTAAAAACCTGGATTACTAATGCCTTACCCACATCACCCACAAGATGGTATTTAACTTACCCTCCAAATACATAAAAATCATTTTAATGAACCAACTGGGAAAGAAGTGTTATTCTCAACATTTTGTTAAATATGAGTATATCATTACAATTATTTGCATGATTTTACCACAAACTGATTGAGACAAATAGCATAATTATTGTGCAAATAATGTGAACTGCTGCAGATATTATAAAATTATAATCAAATTAATGTAAATCTTACTGCCATCCAGGCAATTTTGGGTGCCCTGGACTTAAATCTGTTGTTTTGGGTTGATACCTCAATAGAAATCTGATCTGTCTCTATAACTGGCAAAATGGAGATCTATGTTGAGGTTTCACTGTATGTCTGTGCCAACTTGTTTAAATTAAAATCCCTCAGAAACCCGCTCTATTGTCATGTAACACTACATGAGATTTTTGGCACTTTTAAATCTAAGAAAAATTGATGTCTGAAATTTTACATGAAAAAGCATGGTGGCACTTAAAGCCTTAAAAGCATGCCAAGTCCTTCTGTAAGATAGGGGAGAAATTGCAGTCTGCAAAAAAGTTAGTGTCTGCTCAATAGCCATCAAAAAGGCATCCTTTGGAGAAAAAAACACTCATAATGATAATTACAAATGCAATCCACTTGCCTGTGAAAGAAAGCGATAGAAATCACATTGCAAAAAGATCACGGAGACAATGCCCAGTTTAGATGGCTAAATGCAGTTTTATGAAGATAAACAGGGTGGGAAAGAGTATGACAGACAAACTTACAATTGGAAGCAGAAAATAAGGGGTGTTTGCCTGTCCAGGATGACAGGAAACTGCCATCTGTACGTCAACCATGGTGCTGCCATTTCATGACCATTGACGAGAGAGGGCAAAGATAACACCATCAAATCAAAAACATGCTAAATGAGTAAAAACTAGGCGTGTCAGAGGAATAACATCCACCCATAGATATCATGGGTGCTTGAGAGTGATGAAACTTAAAATTAGCCCCATTCTCTGCCATCGGTATTTACAGAGCAAAACACAAGTCAATCTTGTGGCCAAATCTGTGAAAGTATTTAGGAAAGGCAAGGGAAAGATTTCCAGGGCAGGTAGCAGATGCACAAGAACTGTACTCTACAAATGCCACCCCTCCAAAACAAAATGTATCGCTCCAACTCCCTTTCCACTTTCCCCACACAGTGACAGGGAAAGGGCTGGGGAGCTCAGCCAAGCCAATTTGCATAAAGAAGGGCTGCTGTGATTTTTTTTTTCTTCAGAGGAGATCAGAGCGGGGGCATGGGCAAGCCAGATTTGTCCGGTCCCCCCATTTCCTTGGGAGGCCTTTGCTCTTCATCCATCTTCCGTCCATGTTTTCGAAAGTACTTGTACCTCTGGACATAGGCCTTCACTAAGTTATTCACCTTGACAGGGTTGATTTCACCACTCTTGCTGTGGCAGATCTAAAAGGGAGCGGAGGAAGAAGAATGAGAAAGAAAAGAAAGTGATTCCCATAATACTCTGTCCGCTCTGCGCTCACATTTTTGCCCTTGTTTCCTTCCTCTATGATGCCACTGCTTTACCTTGTGGACAGCTTTGCGCAGGATGTCCTTGTATTCTTCCTTGGTGATCTCCTTTTTCTGGTAATAGGGCTTGATGGCTAGCTTGACTTCCTCCACTGCTCGCTCTTGGGTGTGAAGTTTTTTCAGATACTGAAAAAGGGAACAGAGGCAAGGCAGTCAAAAGAAGTCAGTGTAGGAGAAATAAGCAAGGTAACATGACAGCAAAGCATGAAATAGGTTTAGGATGATCAAGCTTCTCAGTCCCCAGTAGCAAGATTCCAAAGTTGACCAGCTAGAAAACAGGGCCCTGGCTTTCTTTACTCCAAGCCCAAAGTCTGGCAATCATCTGATCTCCTTCACATATAGTTTTACAATGTGATTATGGTCCCAAAGAGATATCTTGCAGCAGAGTCAGTGGTTTCTGTATCAAGTGCAAGGATGCATTACTTTTCTCAGGCTAAGTATAGTGGGGTCTAGAGAGAAAAAAACGGACGACGCTTGGAAAAAACATGGACAAAAACTAAATTTAATTCACATTTAATTGAAAACTAAAGTGTTCGTAATTAATGTCCATGTATTTAATACTTTTTTCCTTTAGTCACCTGAATTTGGAAGTTGCAAGCAAGCCTATGAGGGAAGGTGGAGAGACATGTTGCTCTGAAGGCTCACATTGTGCACCTCTGCTAGAGCAGATTCTAGCAACAGAGCAGTCACTGCTCAGCTGTCCATTTTTCCCCAGTCTAGACATGGAGAAGGATCAGAGTTCGTAACTGATCTGCATAATAAGTGTGAAAAGATGGGTGTCTCAATCCAAAGACTTTTACCTTATCGCTGTCTCCGCGCCCTTCAGAACTGGTGCTGCCCAAATCGGTGCCAGAGGAAGAAGCAAAAATGCCAGCAGAAGGAGGACCTGCTGAAGCCTGGCTCAACGTTCCTGGCAATCCCCCTGTAGGGGTGCTAGGAGTTGAACCACAACCTCCTAGAGGCATTGATCCTTGCAAATGGTAGGAAATGGGTGGGACAGCTAGGTGTGACGCAGGCGGATGAGTGGGTGGTGCCGGTGGCTGAGGAGGAGCTAAGGAAGCTGAGGGCTTGGTGTGGGTCAAGATCTGGAATAAGAAGAGTAAACAAAACATGGTTAAAATGGGTTGGCTTGGGATTAAAAAAAATAAAATTCTTGGCCTGCTACACAATTACTATAATATATTCCATATTTTCAATTTTTCATACTATAGAGCAGAATATTATAATCTCATTACTTCAAAATTGAAACTAGCTGATAAATGGGTCTACTTGCCTATATACAGGAAAGTCACCATAATCTGTGAGTTCCCTTCTCTGGGTGTGCCAGAAGATCCCATTGGGCACAACTGGATATTGCAGAATTAATAAGCAGAGTTGACATTTCTTTTGAAGTTATAGCTGGGGGAAGGGAAGGGAGAACCAGCAATCTTCCAAATGTTGCTGGTGCAATTCCTAGCAGCTGCTAATATGGTCAGTGGTGAAGGATTCTAGATGCTGTATCCTCATCCTGATAATATGCTTTCAGGTTGTTTAATAAATCTAACTCTTAATATGGAATCCTTCATTCTGAAAATTTCTCCAACATCCATGTACTTATGCTCCTGCCCATCTAGCAGTTCAAAAGCATGTAAATACACGTAGGTAGTTTTCACTTTGGTGGGAAAGGTTAGGGTTAAGGTTCTGTGATGTCATGCTGGCCACATGGCCGCAGAAACATTTTTGGACAGCACTGGCACAACGGCCTCAAAACGGAGATGAGCACTTGCCCCCTATAGTGGGTAACGACTAGCAGAATAAAATTTGCAGGGAGTCCTTCCTTCCATGTACATATATCTGTTAATATCAAATTCTGACCACAATTCTGATTTCAAAGGAAAGAGAAAAGAAACGTATATTTTATCACTTCTGTTGACAACTATTAAGGAGAGTTTAATTCTGAAATAGTTCCAGAATGCCATATAATTACAAGGAGAAATTCTGCAATTTATATTTACCATAGTGCTTCACATTTTTATCTGGAAAGGAAGGGTATTATTTTAGTTCAAAGTAAAAAAGTATCTGACAACAGCCTTGTCCAGTCAGTATCCTGCAAAAAGACTGGTTTGCAAGTCTAATGACAGGAGTTGGAATTCAACATACTAGAAGCCACCAAGCTATGGAAAACCATTTCAATAGTGTATTTATTATATTTTAAAATAATTTATTGATCCAACTTTTGCATGCATATTGGTTTCAAAAGAAGGATTTTTTTCAAATTACATAAATGTTTTTCTCTTAGGTTTCAGAAAACATGTGAAGCCATAGAGATCATTATGTGGCCAATTAGGAAATGGGGGGAAATTGTTATTCTAGATAAAAGCAGCTCTGATCCCTCAGCAGTGGATCAATGTCAAGGCCTATTTCATGTAAGCTTTAAGGGAAAAAAACACCCACAGGTTTCTAAAATTGTCCCTGCAGCCATGAGAACCAGGGAAAAAAAGCATTAAACGTAAGATAAGGTAACCAGATGTTCTTTGTTTTCAGGGTGCTAACCTTGGTGTCAGACAGCAGGTTTGCTCCTACAGGGAAATGCAATACATAGCATTCTGGGCTTTGAAGCTGCCTCCCCTCTCCCTCCCACCCCCACCCCCCATTGTGCCAGACTTGTCTGTGTCATGATGAATTCACACATCCTTGAGAATCTCACATCCGTTTTTTTTTGCCAAGGTTTCTAGAACAGCAATTTCTGATGAAACCTCCAACAATTAGTACCATATTATTACAAAATGGTACATATGTTTTAGAAACCTTTATCAAAATTTCAAGGGGAACCGCTGGAGCCTGATCTTTCAAGAATTTGAGAGTAGAGAACAAAAAACAACAACAACAACCCTCCTAGCTGCTGTGAACACACTTTGCAGCCATTCATACTCAATAATGCAAATGTCAGAATTTGTGATTACCTGATTGGTTGCTTGAATGAGTTCCTGGGCTTTTGCCCGGCTTGCAAGATTGGCCTCTTCCATCTTGAAGAGCAGGGCAGTCACTAAGTAAAACACAAGAGTCTTAGACAAAAGTTCCAAAGCATGGAAGTGGAAAGCAGATAATTAAGTGCCTATGCCCCATCTCAGACTACATTTTGAAATACAAATCACAGCCATGGCAGGACATTTATTATTTTATTTATATTTGTTTATAGCCCATTGCCACAAATACCACATCTCAGACTGTATGCCTTAATTTGCCCTATCCTACGCTTGGAAAGCAAGATTGCAAGACTTGTCATTGGGTAAGATTGTAACCACATCTATCAGCATATGATTTCTTTTTTCCTTTAAAAAAATATGTTATCTTTTCATAAAATCATGTTAGCAGCATGATCCTAAGAGAATACATGCCTGAATTGAAGAGATATCAACAGCATGCAAAAAAGTTGCTTTGGAACAGGCATGGCTGTGCTTCCTTAACTCTCGTATGTTGTTGTTTTTTTGGGGGGGGGAGGGGGAATTGCACAAATAATATGCAAGCCCAGGAAAAGGTGCCCACAACTGAGCTATGAATTTTCACATCCTCTGTGAAGCACGTTTGCATTCAAAGTGCTGTATATCCCTATTAGCCACCCTCTTCCCAGCATGGCAGCCTGTCAATCTCATCCAGCAGGTTTCAAGATATCATTAAGGATACTGGGAGATCCTCTGAATATCATACATCACAAAGATTTATACCTTAATAATGACCTTGCTGTTCTGCAAACAAAAACCAACTATTTCTTAGTTCAGTTTCCATCAGGGGGAGCTCAGCATCCACTATTTCTACATTGGTGATTGTCAAAACTACATTCTGAAAAAGGCACTCAATACTGAAGTGTTACAAAGATGGTAAGAGGAAAGAAGTACTTATTAACTTTCTCCTTCTTTAACTTGTTTTTGTAATTCATCTTGATAACTGGATTCCCAGTGCAGATTCCTAAGCTTATGTTTCAGGGATTTTCCAGATAGCAAAAAACACTTGGTCAAAATCAACAGCAACAAATACCCAAGCCTGAACTGAATTTGATCAATCAGCCTGTTCATAGTCTCTAAGCAAAAATCCAAATAAACCCACAATATAAAACTCCTTTAAAAAAAAAAAAAAAGGAATGTTGTTTTTGGAACATTTTACTTGGTCTGAGATTTGTAGAATCATACTATAACCTTACCTGCAATAAAACTGGAATCTCCCTCCCCCCAAACCCCCACATAACAGACTTTTCCCCCAACACACACAAACACATACACACCACCACGATACCTACATGCCAATACACCACTAGTGCAGTCTACTCCCCCCTGCAGATTCCATGACATAGGAGCAGGGGGTTGGGGCAAACTACGGGGAGGATGGGGTGGCTGCTGCAGTGGCTGTTCCTCTTTGGGTTCAGACAAACTGTCTGCTTCTGGCTCATCAGCTGGCACCCTGGGCTGCTCAACAGGAGGATCCTCGGGAAGGAAAGAGACATCAGGTGTCTTACAGCTGCTGTCCACTGTCTGGGAATCAGGTGTGAGTTCCTGGCCTGGGGCCAATGGCTGAGGACTTGGTGGCTTGGCTGTGCCTCCCGATTTTTCCGAACCAGACCACGAAGGCTCCTCCTTCACCCTCAAAGGGCTGATTGCACCCTGACTGCAGCTATCTGCTTTGGATTTCTTCAGCCCAGTCTTCACTTTGAGCTTCTTCTTTTTCTTGGGCTCTGAGGCACCCTTTGGCTTGATGCCCTTCAGTTTCTTCACCCCCATTTTGGCTTTTAGCCCTTTGACTTTTTTGGGCTTGAAGCCTTGTTCTTTGACATCAGTCATTTCACCTTGGCCTGCTGCTGGTGCCCCAACCATTAACACCTTCTCCTCTGATTTGAGGAATGGTGAGCGGCTCTCTTTGTCTCTGCTGAACTTTACACCAATAGAACCCATTTCTTTCACTGATGTTGTGCTACTCACCCCTTCCCGGATCAATACAGCTACCTTGGACTGGAGCTTCACTTTCCGACCTGATCCCAGCTTGCTACTCTCTTTGTGACTTCCAGCTTTGATCTTTTTCCCTGTTTTGTCTCTGTCAGCTCTGGGTTTTTTTTCTATCTTGGGTAATTCTTGCTGCTCAGAACTAGGAGGCCCCTCCTTCAGCTTTTTTTTGTATTTCTCTCGAGCAGCTGGGCGGTCCTCTAGATAGGGTCTTTTGCGTTCCTTTTCCTTGCATATCTTTTGTTTGGTGTCCTCCTCAGGCCTTTTATCTTTACGTGATGGAATTGCATCCTCCTTAGGATTTAGCCGCATTGCATTAGATTTGGATTCTTCAGCAGGCTCACGATCTGAAAAGCAAGCATCAAAGCTCATGCCCTCAGAATCATAAAGCACCTCTCTCTTAGCACTCTCTGGTGTCTCCAAAAGTGTCTCCATTTTCTCCTGCTGGTTGACAGTAATGGTCCTTTTGATAGTGAAGAGATCATTGTCATTGAGATCTTGGATTGAAGGTGGCACCACAGTTCTTGCATCTCTCCGTCGTTCTATCAAGGCCTTTTCAGGCTTGGGTTCCTCCAGAAGGTGGACCTCTCGCTCTTTGTCTTTAGATAACCGATGGGAGAGATGCTTCTCGCGTGAGCGAGACTGAGAGCGCTTCTTCTTCTTTCTGCCACCTTCCCCACGATGTTTGTCTTTGTGCCTACTGCGGTGAGCACGGCTGCTGCTACGTGACCGAGAACGATGGCCACGGCGTTTCTCCTTTGACTTAGATCGTCTGCTTTTGTGCCGCTCAGCTGAAGTATGTGAAGATCCAACAGCAGACAGGCTGGTGCTAATTGAAGGGGACCAGGAGCGAGACGTTCGGTGATGTGAGCGGGACCTCGAGGTCCTGTGGTGTGAATGTCGACGCTCTTTGGATTTTGAGCGCGATTTTGATTTCTTCTTTGGGTTCCAGGAAGAGCCATATGTCTCCTTGGTTTTCGATGCCTTGCATTCTCTTGATCTTTTGCGTTCTCTTTTTGATTTTTTACATGAACCAGAACTGGAACCAGAGTGAGCTTTGGAGGCAGGGCGTTTGGGGGCAGGTGGAGGTGGTGGAGGAGGCAGAGGTGATGGGGCTTGATAGCGTTCTCGCCGCTGGGTTAGGATTTTCCGTCTCAAATCCACACCTTTCCAACGAGGATCTGGCTGGTTTTCATTAAAATCAATCTGTAAAGCTCCCTCCTCATCAGAGTCTGCATGCAGTGATAGAAAATCATCTCCTTCCACTACCCGGAGAGTTCGTGGCTCAGCTGGCCGGCATCTACTTCGAAACAATCGAATGGGACTATACCGCTCGTCCTCCGGCTGGACAATCTCACCTTCTTCGATTTCTGATTCACCGCCACCACTTCCATCCCATTCCACTGATGATCTGCGCCCAGCCCGAGGATGTCCACCTCCTTTTGACATTTTCTCTCCACCTCTCAGCTTAGCATTTCCAACGGTCACTACCTCTAAGGAGACTTTCCCTTCCAGTGGGGTCTTGGCTTCAGCATCCAGACGCCCTTTGGGAGCCAAGTCCACAACAAATACTCGGCGGCATGGTTCTGGAGCTTTAGAGTCTCCCTGATCTGAGGGTAGCTCCTCAGGCAGGGTGGAATCAGCACCAGGAAGCCCTTTGCCCTCAGAAGTCTCAGTAGGGCACGTTGCCTCAGTCTCATAGCCTCTGCTAGGTTCTGTTTCTGGTTCTGAATCTTCTTGTCCTTTCTCTGAGCTTGGGAAATCTTGGCTCAAGCTGTTTTCATCATAGATTCCAGCCAATGTTTCTGAAATGCGGCTGATGCTATGTGACATATCTGGCGGCTGCTGGTCATGGTCATCATCTACATCCTCCTCCTCCTCCTCCTCCTCTTCCTCCTCCGGTGAAGGGGTACTAATAGAGGAGCTGGGGTTGGAGCCTGTGGGATCAAAGGGATCGTATTTCTGGTCGTGCCGCCCACCCTCTGCTTCTTTATGGGGAGAATCCCCAAAGCCAAAATCACCATTGAGATTATCTTCATCCGTAGGGTGGAAAGGATCATAAATATCTAAGTCTGGGGAGTGAATGGGGGGGCACGGATTTGAGGAACCACCATCTTCACCAGGCAGTCCTTGATGGCAGGACATGGAAGAAGAGGATGAAGAGCAAGAGGATGAAGAAGAGGTGCTGGAATCAGCCTTATCCAGGGAGCTACCAGGTGGTGGCTGGGACCGTTGCTGAGATTCAGACTCTCGACCAGCAGCACTTTGTGGACGTTGTTGTCCCCCAGTGGAAACTCCCATGCCAATTCCCAAAGTCATGGCCAAACAGGGTGAAGAAGTCCTGTCTGCTTTAGGGGACTGCAAAACCTCGCTTCTTTCTAAATCAGAAGTCCAAGTAGCCCTGTCTGTTCTATGCACAGGGAGAATTCTATGTGGGTCTAGAACATAGGGTTGCTCTGAAACAGAGGAGTGACCAATTTGGGAGGTTCTGCTTCCTCTCCAGCAGGGGGAAGATGATCCAAGGCAAGCTGTAAAAGCAAATGAAGTTATTAGAAACACACCAAATTCATTTTAAAAAGAAATCTGCATTATAAGAGAAATAAACTCTTATAACTTGTTTTTTAAACATTATTAAGTCTAACAGTACTGAAAGGCACCACATTGGTGAAGGTTGTTGTGTTCTATTAGTCCATTAAACAAGCTGCTCCTAAACATGACAGCCTAAATCTAAATTTCTGACAAATTAATTCTTGGACTAAGCAGCAATAAACTTAGTATTATTGCAGAGCCTCTCACCAGTAGAAGTTTCAAATTCTAGGCTGGCAGGCAGGGAAAGTAGAGGGACCGGGGTCAGGATATCTCTTGTGTATTTTTGGAAGATTTCCCATATAAAAGAAAAAATCTGGGCTACATATACAGTTAGTCCTTGACTTATTCATTTAGTGACCATTTGAAGTTACAACACTAAAAACGTGACTTATGACCATTTTTCACCTTTACCACCATTGCAGCATCCCCGTGGTCACATAATCAAAATTAAGATGTTTGGTAACTGGCATATATTTATGACAGTTGCAGTGTCCCAGGGTTATGTGATCACCTTTTGTGACCCTCTGACAAGCAGAGTCAATACAGAAGCCAGATGATTCACTTAACTTGTGTAATAAAGATCGTAAAATGGGGCAGAACTCACTTAACAGTGGACTTGCTTAGCAATGGAAATTTTGGCTCAATTGCGGTTGCAAGTTGAGGACTACCTGTATTTGAAAATTTAGCTTCTTATGTGAAAACATACACAATTCAGAACTGGAGAAAGGGACTGAAAAAGTAACACATTTTGTATCTCACTGTTAGGCTTGCCAACCTAGTTTCCCTGACCATAATATAAAATTGTTGACTCCAGATCAACAAAATGTGTAGGAACACAAGGCTTGAAGATTTCTCCCTCTTTTTTTTGTCCATACAGGTAGTCCGTGACTTATAACCATAACAAAGCATACCCATCACAATCTAAGTCACAATAATCATAAAGCTGGTCATCATCTACTTTTACTTTTACTTTTTTTTTTTTGCAGTCATTAAGCAACTGCTATAGTGGTAAAGCAAAGGGTCCTAAAATGAGCCAATGGTTTGCTATAGGCTAGTTTTCCCAAAACCTGGAATTAACTATCAGGTTAATGTTGTTAAAATAAGGAAATGTGACGACAAGACATTGCAAATGATCAAAAATACGGGCCGATTGCTAAGCACCCAAAATGCAGCCACATGGTAGGGGATGAGAATGGTCATGAGAACTTTGGAACTGCATCATATGTACTCCTGAGAAGGTCTGTTGTAACTCTGAATGGTTGGTAAGCAACCAGATGTAAGTCAAGAGCTATCTATATTTCTATCTTCATTTACATATGCATACACAAGCACACCCACACACCAGCCTTTTGCCTCCTCCAGGACAGGTTTCTTCTGGAGATGCCTGAGAGAGCACCAATGTCCTCCAGTCGCACTTCAGCCACCAGCTCCACTTCTTCTATATCTTCATCTCCACTGTTGAGAAATAAAGAAAATTAAGATATTCTGTCTATTTGTCCTTTCAGAGATCCCATGTTTATTTTATTTATTTGTAGCCCACTTTATTATTTTTACAAACAACTCAAAGCCATAACATAACTAACACACCTTCCTCTTCCTATTTTCTCCACAACAACCCTGTTAGGTGGTTTGGGCTGAGAGAGAGTGACTGGCCCAAAGTCACCCAGCTGATTTTCATGGCTAAGGGCAGGACTTGAACTCAGAGTCTGCTGCTTCCTAGCCTTTAATCCTTAAAAAATTCAAAAGGTAGAAACCCTTTATAACATAAGATCCTAGCATGCACAGAAGTCTTAATGTAATGCCAAGTCTGAAATAGGAACTTATGCATTAGTTACCAAGAGCAGCATTTTATAAATTTTATTAGAGAGCTGAATCAATTTACAGCTGTATCTTCACTGACCTCTACAGGTCAAATCAGATATTTTGACTTTGTGTACTTAAGAACTATCTCCTTCCTCCATTACCTCTGCCTTCAGGATTAGGATTTGCAGCCAACAGAATCCTGGAACATTTCTCCTAAGTAGGACATAGTTGGATATAATAACTAGCTGGAATCTGTGGCTTCTTCAGATCCAAGAAAGCAAGAGGCAATGAAGCTGCTAGAGTGAAGATACAATGAGCATCTGAAATTAACAGATGGCAGAATCAGAACTTCACCAACAAAGTAATAAGGCAATGCAGATTTATGTCAGTCTTTCAGCTGACATAAAGCTGAAAGTAAGAGAGGGTTCAGTAAGAGAGGGTTCCCCCTGAGCATCTTGTGAAATTTAAATCCAGATCCGTATATCAGGACTTGTAGTTATAATTGTTACTCTCCCTTTAAACCAGTGTTTTTCAAAAATAACATAAGATGTGTGGACTTCCATTCCCAGAATTCCCTGGAAAACATGGGAGTGGAAACCCACATATTTTAAAGATGCCAACTTTTAAAAACATCGCTTTAGAACATGTTGCTGCTACTACCAAACAAGAACAGATTACAAAGAACAGTGTACTCTAACTGGTGAGAGACAGTTTGCTCTACTGGTTAAGACACTAGGCTAAAAGTGAGGAGACCATGAATTTGAGTCCTACCTTAGCCATGAAAGCCCTCTGGGTAACCTTGGGCCAGTCAGCCTCCCTCAGCCCAACTCACCTCACAAGGTTGTGGTTGTAGGGAAAATTGAATGAAGAAGTGTTAGATATGTTCTCTGTCTTGAGTTACTTGTAAAAATAATTAAGGAAGGATACAAACAGATAAAAAATTTTAAAAAAAATCTGTAAAATGGTCCTGACCACAGATTTTCTAACCTGTTTCTCTTGGCTTTTCTTCTAACACAAATTATTTAACAGTGATTTATAAAGACTGTGGACATAAAAACCAAGTGCAAGTAAGCAATTGCAACCTAAATTACTTTCAATCATAACATGGGAGTCAATCCAGCAAATCAACATCTCCAGCACTGTTCTTTTCAAAAGCAGTTGTCTCAAGTATTTCCCTTGCAGTGACTAGGATGCCTGCTCTGCAAACCCAGATTTTAAAAAGATATTAAATCTTCCATATCAGAACACAACACTCAGATTCTTAACCTAATCAGAATCAACACCTTCAAGGGAAGAGAAACAACCCAGATGTTTCAAGCTGTAATTCTCATAGCAATTGCCAGACTAGCCAATAGTCAGAAATTCTGAAATTTGCCATGTGGAAGGCATTAAATTTTGAGCAACTTTCATAAAGGACTTTTAAATAGTATAATACATCTGAAGAATAATGTTGGTAAGGCATCTCAGGGCATATCTAAGAAATGCTTCAATGGGTTTTCAATTGGTTGAAATTCCTAAAATCATAGTACAGGTAGTCTTCAATTACAACTAAAATAAAGTCGGTTCATTATGGGGGGTAGCTGTTAAGTGAGACAACCCCGTTCTCTGCTCTCCCTGATGCTCCCATTTAACAAACATGCAGGTTGTTAAGCTGGGTAGAGGGTGCCTTATTTGGGGGGGGGGGCAGCTGGGTCCATAAAGGAGGCAGACAAGCAGCAAAAATTTTGCAAGGTTAAAATCAGCCCAATGGGGGGGGGAAAAGAGCCCAGCTAAATTAGAGCCCAACATCACGTTCCAAAGCTTTCAAACAAGCTCTGTATTTGGGCAATGAAACCACACTTGTGAACTGGGTCTCTCCCCAATCAGTCACAACCCCTTTTGACCACCTAATTTGCTGACTTTACTGTATGTCTGGAAAGAGGGTGGCAAAATCTGTAAGTTACTTACTTAGCTTTCAATGTTCAATTCAGCAGCTAGAGCACACCTGCCTCCTGCTTTAGAAAAGTCCTAGCTCTCTTCTAAAGCGAGTCAGATAAGCAGAAAACAGCCTTTCAAGGACTCACCTTCTGCAGCAGCTGGCCATTTGCTGCATGTGTTATCACTCATCAAGATAAGTAACTTACAGATTGGAGGGCAGAGATTGGAGGATAGAAATGGAGAGTTTAGTTTCAATACCTAATGGGGGGGGGAGGAGGGAAAAAGATCAACAAGACTGTCCCCCCAATTTTTTTCTGTTTTCTTTACTGAAGAAATGTGGGTTTCTAGGAGAGGGACTGATTTTGGGAAGCTCCTCCTGAAACTGCTGCCTTTGCAGGCAGCTGGTTCATCAAAGCCTACTCAGAAAAGATTTGCAGCCTCCCAACAGCCAGCTGATCAGGACAAAAAGCTTTAAAAGCAGCCATTTCCTTTTCACTAGGAATTGTCAGCACTCTTAAAATGTCAGCTGCTTCAAGGAGGCATGGGGAATAGGCTTAATCGCTGTGAGGTCTCAATAGGGCAGGATTGGGGGGGGGGGAGAGAGGTGGGTGGAATCAATCAGTCATAAGGCAAATGACCATGGGGGCACTGCAGCAGTTGTAACTTCAAAAGGAGATTATACGTAGCTTTGGGAGGTCTGTCATAACTTTGAACTGCTATTAAGTGACCAGTCATATACAATATACTAGGTACAGTCCTGTGTTCCATTCAAACTGTAATTGCCAATACAGAAAATCATGTATTGATATCAAGACCTATTTATTATTTATTTGTTTTATTTAGGCACTACCTGCTCCAGGCTGATTCTGGGCATATTGCAAAACAAGGAGATATTAAAAATTACAACCCACATAAACCCTTAACAGATGGCATAAAACAAACATCATGCACCCAGCAGAAGCTCCAAGCACCTCAGTCCAGAATGCAGATGAGCCAGATCTATAAGGGTCCCTAGAAGGCTGTCAGGGTTGCCATTTCATCTCTTCAATACTACTTTTATCCATACAATAATAATTCTAAAATGGCCCTGACTTATATAACACACATTTCTGAATTTATTTGGTAAGCATTGTTATTCTATCACAGCCTATCCCCAATCTGATATTGTACTGACCTGATGTGTCAGACTGTAACTCCCATAATGGGAGATAGATAGATGAGACAGATAGGACCCACAGGCTGAGATAATGGGAATTCCAGTCCATCTGTCGGGAGGTGGGGGGAGATGGTTCCATTATATCAATGTTTAATTCATTACATTTTTAAACGAATGATCAGCCATAGCCCTCTAAATGGTACCACAGCCCTCCAGGCAGTTTATTGGAGTTTCTTAAAGCAGATTAATTTCCAAGCTATTAATGAAGTTCATATGATAATTTCAGTGGCATCATGCACTTCATTTCCTGCAAGATTGCAGCCTGAGAAGATTCTCACTTACTAAACCGCCTGGGCATCTATGGAGCTCTCGACTTCTTGGGGCATATGATATGGCCAGTCTAGATAATTCAATATTCCAGCCAAGCCAGGCATTATACCAGAGGAAGGAGTCTGTAAAACCTAAAAGAATGGAAATTGGCACCATCAGCAATAAAAACAGACCAGAACCCCCTATATCGGGCATGTCAAACTCGCGATGTCACGTGACATATCGCAACTTTTTCCCCATTGCCGGCAATGAGGTAGCCACGGTTTTGGCATGATGCATCCAGCCCCCGGGCCGGCAGTTTGACATGCCTGCCATATATCCTCTCTCTATGATGAAAAAAGAAGTGAATGTGAAAGAAACCATTTCGGCCTATTATCACCATAGAACATCTGCATATGCTATACAATGAAGCCTTCCTCCCAAAGATAACAAGCGCACTATTCAATGACTTGGAAAATGAAACTTGGATGGAGGTGCCTATACAGGTAGTCCTTGACTTACAACCACAACTGGCACTGGAGCGTCTGTCACCAAATGATACAGTTATTAAGTACTATAACTTTTTATTGCAATCATTAAGTAAATCACCATGGACATTAAGTGAATGATATGCTTGCTGGAAGCCTCTTGGGAAAGTCACAAATGGCGATCATGTGATTCCAGGACACTGCAACCATCATGAATTTATGTTGGTGGGCAAGTGTTCAAATTTTGATCACAAAACCACAGGGTTGATTCGAAGATTGGTTATAAGTTTTATATTTTCAGCACCATCATAATTTTGAATGGTTGTTAAACAAATGGTTGTTTGTCAAGGATACATATAGTCTAATCAAGGATTTCTATACAATGACTGATATTTGTAAAGCTCTTCAATTATATATGTTTGGTTCGCCAATATTTTCTACATCATAATAGGAATAATCATGAGATTGCAACATACCTCACCCATTGGACCATTTCTATCATAGGCCAAGGCAGAGTCCCCAGCTCCCAGCCAGTTTCCTCCAAAACCTTCAGTTCTAGAATTCCAACACCATTTATTTTGACTTGTGCACTTGCATTCTGCATCTGAAAATGAAAACAAAAAATGTGTACATTTTATAACCAACTAGAGCAGAGGTCCCCAACCCCTGATCTGCAGTTACTGATCTGTGGCCTGTTCGCAACCAGGCTGCTCAAGCAGCAGGCAAGTGCAGGAAGCTCCATTTGTACATATGCACAAAACCATCCCCTGCCCCCCCTTTTGCCACCACCGCTGCTGCCAGTCCGCAGAACTGGAAAGGCTGGGGACTGCTGGACTACAGTATGTCATCATACAACTGACTTCATATAATATATAATTCCAAATACAGCCTGCATATTAAGAATATCAATGGAGGCTGGTGTTGCATAATCTATGAATCAGCGGGTTTCAGGTATGCACAAGCATCTTCCTTTTGGTTTTGTGCATTTTTAAAAAAAGAACCGAGATGGCTTAACAGCAATTAGTTATGCCTAATTTTTCAGTGACCTTTAAGTTACCATTAAAGTTATTGATCAATATCTTGAGACCCCCCAAATCCATGCACAGTCACAAATTTGCTTGAATGGCCTGAAATAAGACATTATCTCTCAATTTGCCATCTGTTATAAAGAGAGAAAGTAGTATCTGTTTTATGTAAGAATGGTAAAGTGGCAGATGGGGAATGCTTTGAGCATATTGGGAAATTGTTATAAAAACGATTGCAGGTAGTCCTCAACTTATGACCACAAAATTTCTGTTACTGAGCAAGAGAGTTGTTGAGTTTTGCCCCACTTTATGACCTTTCGTGGCACAGCTCTTAAGTGAATCTGGCTTTCCCATTGGTTTTACTTGTCAGAAAGTTGCAAAAGGTGACCATATAATTCTGGGATACTGCAATAGTCGTAAATACATGCCAGTTGCAAGTGTCCAGATTTTTATCATGTGACCATGGAGATGCCGCAACAGTGTGAAAACAATAAGTCACTGATTTTAGTGTCATTATAACTTCAAATGGTCATTAAACAAATGGTTATAAGTCAAGGACTACCTATATAGAGTTGCTGATGGTAGCCCATCTCTCTCTGCCAGGCATGTTTTTTCTAGAAGCCTTCATATATTGGCTTTCATGCAAAGAAATTATCCACCTTTACATCAGAGGTACATCTGTATCCACATTTTTCATCAATGGCCATGCTTGATAAAATTGCTAAGAACTGAAATCTAGCAAATTTGGAGGACCACAGTTCCACATTCTACACTTACTACTTTGATTGTTTTGCATTTGGGAGGTATGATGAAAGCATTCTGAAAAAACTGAGAAATGCAGATACAAATCAAACAATTTTTAAACTTTTTGAATATCTAGTCGCAGCGATAGGCAACCTTGGCTCTTTTATGACTCATGGACTTCAACTTCCCAGAATTCCTGAGCCAGCATAGTCATAAAAGAGCCAAGGTTGCCTACCCCTGATCTAGAGTAATGTGGTAATTGAGGAAAGAAAATCTAATTTTAAAGACTGAATTATTAAACTGATTTATATAATCGCTCATCTCACAAATAAGTGACTGTGGGCTGCATACAACAAGCACTTCCTTCTAGGGGCTGACAATTTATGGGAGATACAGCTCTAACTCTATGGCCTTCTATAGTCTAATGATGTAGGTCGACAACTCGGATGCCGATACTACCCTGCAATCCTGGCTTCTAGTACCTTTCTCACTAGCCGGATCTTTCAGTTCCCCTGCTAAGCCACTGCCCACAGCCTGCTGCAAAGCTTTCTGTGAAGACAGGAGACACAGACAGTTATCAGCTACTGTGAAACATCAAATGTGGCAATTGCCAAAAGATCAATTAAATATAATAAGCATATTGTTATAGTGATTACTGAACACCACTACAAGGAAGAATTGTGTGAGAGCCAAGTGCTGAAAGGGGCGCACATCTTATACAACCACCACACAAAATAAATAAAAGGTATAAGCAAGTAATCTCTTTTTCATTCCTAAGGTTCTCTTTACACAATTATAAAACAAACATCAGCTATTGTATTGCAAGAAACTATCAGAAATGAAATTTACATATATATTATAAGGAATGGAACATTATAACAATTCACATATATATAAGAAATGGAACATCATAAGAAAAACAATCTACTATGAGTTATAAAAAAATGGTTAAATTCTTCTACGGTAGTCCCTGACTTACAACCACAATTGAACCCAAAATTTCCCTTGCTAAGCTAGACAATTGTTAAGTGAGTTTTGCCCCATTTTACAATCTTTTTGCCATAGTTGTTAAGTGAATCACTGCAGCTGCTCAGTGAATCATGCGATCATTAAAGAGAATCTGGCTTTTCCAATTGACTTTGCTTGTCATGAGCAAGCCGGGAAGGTTACAAATGGTGATCCCAGGACCCTGGGATAGTTCAACTGTCATAAATACATGCCAGTTGCCAAATGTCCAAATTTTGATTGTGTGAACATGGGGATGCTACAACGGTCATGTGAAAACCAGTCCTAAGTCACTTTTTTTAGTGCAGCTGTAACTTTGAATAGTCACTAAACAAATATTGTAAGTCAAGGACTATCTGTATTAAAGTCAGACTTGTAAATTAACATTCATTTGATTACAGGTGATAGGAACTTTGCTCAGGCAACTAAGGCTGATCCAATTTTATTTTTTTTTAAGTTTGTCTTCAATCAGTCTTGGATCTTTTACAACTGAAGAGAAATGGAAAAGAGCTGAACAGAAATGGAAAAGATCTTCAAAAATGAAAAAAAAAAACAGATCCAGGAAACTACAGACCAATCAGCCTGACATCAATACCTGTGAAGATCTCAGAAAAGATAATCAAGCAACAAATCTTCAAACACCTAGAAGCAAACAAAGTTATAACCAGAAGCCAACATGGGTTTGTCAAAAACAGATCATGCCAAACAAATCTTATTTCAAAGTGACTAAATTAGTGGATCAGTGAAATGCTGTGGACATAGTATACTTAGATTTCAGTAAGGCATTTGACAAAGTAGACCACAACCTACTTCTTGGTAAGCTAGAAAAATGTGGGATAGACAGCACCACCACCAGATGGACTTGTAACTGGCTGACAAACCGTATTCAACGTGTAGTTCTTAACGGAACTACATCCTCATGGAGGGAAGTAAGCAGTGGGGTACCCCAAGGTTCCATTTTAGGCCCAGTACTCTTCAATATCTTCAAAAACAATCTAGATGAGGGAATAAAAGGGGAACTCATCAAATTTGCAGACGACATTAAGCTGGCAGGAATAGCCAACACACCAAAAGATAGGCTCAAGATCCAGAAGGATCTCGACAGACTTGAATGCTGGACCCTATCTAACTAAATGAAATTCAATGTAGAGAAAAGTAAGATTTTACACTTAGGCAAGAAAAACCAATTGTCTGGGTACAGACTACGTGAAACTTGGCTCAATACCAGTAACTGTAAGAGGGATTTTGGAGTTCTATGTGATTTGGCAATCACTTAAATATGAGCGAACAGCGTACGGCAGCAGCCAAAAAAGCCAATGCAATCCTAGGCTGCAGTACTAGAGGCATAGAATCAAGATCACATGAAATATTAGTACTGCTTTACAAAGCTTTAGTAAGACCACACTCAGAATAATGCATTCAGTTTTGATCATCACAATATAAAAAAGATGTTGAGACTCTGGAAAGAGTGCAGAGAAAAACAACAACGATGATTAGGGGGCTGGAGGTTAAAATATATGAAGAATGGTTGCAGGAATTGGGTATGTCTAGTCTAGTGAAAAGAAGGACTAGGAGAGATATGATAGCAGTGTTCCAATATCTGAGGAACTGCCACAAAGATGAGAGGGGTCAACCTATTTTCCAAAGCACCAGAAGGCAAGACAAGAGACAATCTAGAACTAAGGAGAAATTTCCTAATGGTGAGAACAATCAACCAATGAAATACCTTGCCTTCAGAAATTGTAGGTACCCCATCACTGAAGACTTTTAAGAAGAGGCAGGCCAGCCATTTGTCTGAAATGGTATAGGGTCTCCTGCTCGAGCAGGGGGTTGGACTAGACCTCCAAGGTTCCTTCCAACTCTGTTATTCTATGGTTTATGTTCTATGTTCTAATCTAGTCCATATGTTCCATTCAGCACAAAAATGAATTCTAATAGCCATGACACTTGCAGCAAAAATTCTGCCTTAATACTATTGATTTAACTTTGAACTGAACTTTATGCCTAATCTAGACACAAAATTGTCTGAGTCCATTTGATCTACTCTACTGCTTCAAGATTGCAGAGCTGTTCCTTTTGGTATTCTTTTTAGCATAAGTCTTCGTATACCAAGATAGTCTGAAAGATGCTTTGAGGACCGTGAGAGGACAGGCTGTCCAGAAAATAGCTGGCACCTGGGCTGCTTTCACCCTGTCTCTTTAACACATCTCCCCAGCCAGCAGGACAATGTTGGCTATAAAAATTGTGCTAAGGAGAAGCTAGTGTGGTGGTATGTGTGAGAGAGGTGTGTTTATGAATAAAGTAGCTAGAAAGAATTTTCTCTAGCAGTACAAGTAATCCTTGAGTTCAACCACAAATGAGTTCCAAATTTCCATTGCTAGGTGAGACAGTTGTTAAATGAGTTTTGCCCCATTTTAAAACTTTTGTCACAGTTCTTAAATGAATCACTGCAGTGTTAAATTAGTAACATGGTTGTTAAATGAATGTGGCTTCCCCATTGACTTTGTCAGATCATAAAAGGTGATCACATGATTCCAGGACACTGCAACTGTCATATATATGAGCCAGTTGCCAAACATCCAAATTTTGAACACATGATCATGGGGATGTTGCAACAGTCATAAGTGCCATTGTAATTTCAAATGGTCACTAAACGAATAGTTGTAAGTTGAGGACTACCTGTATTACAAGGAATAGTAGTTGGAGTAGTAATAGCAGTAGGGAAGAACGGAGTAATGGTGCAGAGTAATAGCTTGTTAATGCTGTGTTTGTGTGTTGACTAGGGCCTGTGTTGCACTGGCTCTTTTGTATTTTGAGCCCATTGGGTGTACTTAAAAGAACTTGCGACATGGACACATTTCATTCATTACAGGTTCCTAAAAAGTTTAGTTAGAAGATCATTTTTAAAATGGAGTTTGTTTCCAGGAAACATAACCTCATGGACATATATCTCCTTAGAAGCATCTTTCAGAGATGCATTCCCTCCACATCGTAACTTAATTTTAATACAGTTAAAATCAGGTGCTCATTTCTAGTTCTAATAATTTTTGATCATAGAAAAATTAAACTAGCACTGAAAACTAATTGTTTGATAGAATTCTTTAAATTGGGAAAGTGACAGCATGACACAGATAGATAACCAGGTAACACAGCGTATCATGAGATTTTGTTCCAAAAATTTTCCTGCATAAAAGGCAGTTGCTATATTTTTTTAAAAATTACAAAAATACACACTTGACCTGGGATAAAGAAAAAAAAGGGAAAATGCATAGTTTCAAAGCAAATATATGACATAAAGATGTTACATTGGATTTGCAAATGAAGCAAGCTATCTTAATAATTAAAAGGGATGTATAAAGAACAAACCAGAAGAATGACTTGGATAACTTTCTTATTTTGGTTTTACAAAAGACATGTTAAAGTTTTGATGGCGTTTCTGAGAAAAGACAAAGAGAAAATGAAAGGAAATCAAATTCTAGGATGCTGTTTAGAGGAATTAAAAATCAAGATTGTTAAAAACAAAGAAAGGAATATTAAGTCGGTTTAATAATCAAGGTTAAACTTTTGTAGTAGAATTAGAGGTTACTGAGATTGTTTATACTAATCATGACCAAGGGGGAAAGTCATTTCTTATATATTTTTCTTTTTTACTAATTTTTTCTCTCCATTTTTTTCTTTTTGTGTTATATTTTTTTGTTTATATTAGTTTATCTTTGTATCTGTAAACGTTAATAAAAATTAGTATAAAAAGGTAAATAATTATTTATCACTGCATCAAGAAAGACCCATTCTATGCTGCTTTGGAAGGCCCATCAGTAATAGAGTTGCTGTTTAGAGAACACAAATAACTACAAAGGTGACAGAAGAGCCATACGGGCTTCAAAATTCTTTGGAACTTAGTCCAAATTCAGTATGTTTTAGGTACAATACAGATATATTACTAAAGACAAAACATTTATCAGTATACTCAGGATATATCCCAGTGGGCCTACAAAGCTCTTTCTACTATATTAAAGAAACTCAAATGGTAATCCTCAGAGTAGGCACCTTCCAAAGCACAGATGGGCAACATGTTGCCCTCTATATATCCTTTTTTTTAAAAATGATAGCTATTCAGGCAAGGGTTGCTGGGAGTTGAAGCTCAATGTGAAGAAAGCAGCACAAAATTTATGCCTGTTTTAAAATTACCTTGGGGAGGTGTACATTTAATTATTCACCAGTATTTCAATAAGATCTATACAGTGATGAAATCACTTAAACATTTAAGAATCTAAGAATCTAATTATAACAAAACATTCCACAAGACTCTGCTGCATGCTGGTTCAAAAACTGAAAATAAAATAAAGCAAGGGAAATCTGAATTACCATCAAGTCACTGGATGATTATGATTGATATCCTTCCCAGTTAACCTACCTTAGAGAAAGAATGAGCGCTGTGATACTAAGATGCAATGGAAATGACACTGTTATTAAGCTATTGTTTGTATTCTTAGAAGACTGTTTATTAACATATTTTGAATTCTACAGATGTAATCAAGCATTCAATTTAAAATTACCTAATGAAAATCTAACTGATGGTGAGGTGAAACTAAGCAATAATGTTTCTCAGATACGGCAGCAACACTATGGAATAGTTTCCTTTTGGAATCAGAGTGACTGTCAGATTATTTCTTTTTTGAAAATTAGCTTTTTAAAAATTTTAAATCTGAGTTATCAGCATGCCCTTCAGTGGTTGTGCCATCTTGTAATTTAAACTTAGAATTGTTAAAATTTTAGAAACTATTTATTATTATTTTATTTACCATGGACAAAAGCAGCCATCACACTGGGTAGGTTCAGTAGCACTCACATTTAGTAAAATAAATAGTCAAAAATAACATTACTTTGAGAACTGAAAGCCTCCTTGATAGCTCCTGCTGCTCTGTTCTTGCTTTAAATACCTTGAACTGCTGTTTTTAGGAAAAGAAAATTACAGAGAAACCACCTTGTTTATCTATCTATACCTACACCTATGCTTTAGCTTTTAGATTCATATAATTCTAGCTATTTATTTCCCACCTTTAATATAACAAAATAGAAAAAGGAAAACATTGTGCCTGTTTGACTGGATCAAGACTGAATCAAATTTAGAAAGAAAGCCAATTGAAATCTATGAATTTTCAGTTAACATGACTAACAAAATTGCATTTCCTTTTTTCAAACATGTTTATTTTTTATTGAAAATTCCATTTGTTTCAATGGATTTTAAATGAGTAACTCTAGATTTGTTCCATTTTTGATAATCTAAGCAATATGCTAGATGCTGCATGTGACAAACTATTTAATATTGATTAACTATTGCATTTGTTGCAATACTATTCAGCAATGAAGTGTCATCTTATTCTGATTCCTTGAAAATCTTAGATTCAAAAAAGTCTTCTTAAGCTTTGAGATACTCAAGAAATATAAGGTTCTTCCCCCCCCCCCCCAATATTTTGTGCAACTTGAAGTTTGCTTTTTAATTTTTAGGAGGCTTAAAAATTACTACTGGGGTATTCCTAATGCTGCAATAGCAATGCTAAAAAGAACAAAATAAGGCTCCTGGTACAAAACTCCAGCTGCTTCTAAAGCATCTTATCAAGTTCAATTTTCAGTAGTTCTTAAAATGCAGAACAGTATTTTAATTTGTGGAAAAAATGAAAGATGATGCCTAGATTTTCTAAGATCATAAGGAGACATGATGGCTTCCAATTGCCATGGCATTTTCTAGTTTACTGCATATTTTTCCTGTGCTAGAATACCTTACTGGCATCTTACAAACTAAGAAAGAAATATTTTATAAATGAAGTTGTTTGTAGAAACCCAGATAACACTTAGATCAAGAGTACAAGGAATAGTCATGTTTATTGCAAAATTTAAAAGACCTGTGACTACATAAAGAACATCATGTTGTCTGTACCAGCAGCAGTACAAATTAATTTTGAACAAAATCACTTTCTGCGCACTACCCTAATATGAATCAGTTTATTTTGTTCCCTTTCCCTATGACTATGAGTTTTTGTGCTGCACCAGTAAGAAACACCCCATCCATCACACCATTCCACAATCTCTTGATAAATAGAGCAGCTATTACCAAAATGATAACGTGGCCAATACAGAGGGTTCCTGATTGGTCCCAATCCGAATCGAGGGAAGGTTCACTGGCTGGCTTCTCACCACTATGTGCAGAACCCTCCCTGACTGGTGAGCGCTGATTCTCCTCTTCCATGTCTGCAGCGGTACAAATCCTAGAAGCTGAGAGGAACAAGAGATTAATGAGATTCCAGAGTTAAGTACTGGTATTATAAGGAACTCTTCTATTTTTATTTGAACTTCAAGCTAGAAGTTTCCCAAAAGCTTGCCTGAAACCCATCATTCAAAACAGAATCTAGACCGTTCATAAATATGAAAGCAATAAGGCAAATGAAATTATAGTTATTGCCTCCCTTTAAAAAAGTATATTCTTAATTAGGTATTTCTAATTGTTTGCCAAACAAAGTGGATGAAAATCACTAGGAAAGAGTATCAAACATATGGCAACTTTAAACCAGACAATAATTTCAGACTTAGTCAAAGCAGAAAAACTACCTGCTCATTTATGTACAAGCTCTAGCTTCGTAAAGCAGCTACATATGAAAAAAAGGATGGCCTTCTATTATTCAGCTGCTGGCCCCACAATTCCCCAGAGTGACTGGGGCAAAAAAAAACCTTGCCCCTTTTTAGACTGGGGGGGGGAAATGAATAACTTAAAAACTTGCACCCGTTTAAGGCCATTTCACCCACAGAAACTCCTGAACTGCCATCCCAAAACAAATACCCACTTTTGAAGTATGGCTCTCACCATTCCATGCAAAATTTTGGTGGCCTTAAGATAACATAAGTTGTGTCCTCTTGCCATAATGAGTAAAGAAATTACTCATTGTCTTATATTTAAGTCTACTGAGATAGGATCTCAGTGGAGATTCTTGGTACAACGTACAGCAACTGTCTTGAATCTGATAATGTCATGGTAAGCTGCTAGAACACAATTGATTAAACAGACCATTATCAAATAAAATATATTAAGGGAAAAAGCATTAGCTTTTATGTATAGTGAGGTTAAATTTCAGTGCTCATGGTCCCTTAAGTGATTAATTTTTCACATTCCTACATCTATATCTGAAGCAACTAAATCCTTTCCTATTGTAACTATCCATCCATCAAATTTTCCTCTGCCATACCATTTTTTTATGAAAGGCATTTTCTCTATTTTTATAAATCTTGCAATTCCCCGTAACTTCCCAATATTTGCCCATCTCTCCCCCCAATTGTTTTCTCAAGGCTTGGTCCATTTCTCTTTTTAAAAGATACCTATAGAAAAATGAACATCAAGAAACAACAGCATATCTGGAAAGTCCTCTGAAAGCAATGAGAATGAAGCCTAAGAAATTGTATCACTGGTAGAGGACAGCTTCAAAATTGAAAGCTGAGAGAGCAAAAGGTTCTTGAATCCTGAATTATGAAAATATTCAACACCTGACTTTCTCACCTTTAATGAGGAAAAAATATGCTAGCTCCAAATAGGTTTGTTATTTCCCAATTCTTTATGTTTAGTGAACCAGTTATCTGGCAGATGTGTAGATATTTGCCAGCCTTTCATCTTATGACAGAGCTACCAAACCATGTTTATTTTACATACCTAGTAAGTCAATTATCCAACTCCTTAATTAACAGTTACTTTATTCCTAAAAATTCATTGCAGCACTGCTCTGTAGTATTTCTTTAAGATCCTCCAAGGCAGAGGTCCCCAATCTTTTGGGCACCAGGGACTGGTTCCGTGGAGAGGTTTTTCTGCTGACCAGAGGGTGCATGGTTTTGTGTGCTGACTGCATCCCGTAGATGGGGCTTTACTTGTTTGTGCTGACCGGTTTTCTTTTACTCTTTCCAAATCTTGCGCCTCCACTTTGCACTTTCTGCATTTCAAGTTAAGACCACACAGAAATCTGCCCATTGTACTCAGTGCTTATTTAAAATTCCAACATTCTCACCTTGTTTAAGACATGATATTCCAACCATTTACTAAGACTCTCCTTTACCTATTAACAGTATTATATATTGATCAGCATTTAGGCAATCAGTTTCAACATGTCAAGTTTTTAGTTATCAATAATTTGATACTTCATTAGTAAATGTCCTGTGCTAATGCAACTCTCAGATATCAGAAGTATCTTTGACCAGAGCTGCATCTCATTTCAACCTGTTATATAATTTGTTATTATTACACATCTTAATAATATTTTGCATACAAAAGATCTTTTACTTAATCTCATGCTTATCTAGGAAAAATAATGATGCATAGGCTGTGGGGACCTGAAAACCTCAGCCAAAAATAAATCATACAAACTAAACAATATGATTTATGCAAGGCAGCTTCCTGTGCTCAGTATTTGCTTCTTCTGTGGCCATATTGTGTCCTAATCCCCTTCTCACCACAATCACTGCCCTGACAAATGCCATACTAAGAATTCTGTCAAAGGTTATTCAACCACAAATAGGTAATTTGGTTTCCTCTAGATTTTTTAAATTACAATTGTTATAAATATGGAGACTACTGGGTTACCAATCCTTGCTCCCAATCAAACCTCATTCTGGGTCCTCAAGAGACATTAAGACATCCACCCACCTCCTTCAGACTAGTAGACCCCAAATCCAGCTTGTCCTCCATATCAATCACATACCACAAAAGTAAGGGTATGCTTCCTTTCCATGTCCTCTTCTTCCCAGGTAAACGGTGAGCTGATCAATGGGACCTGTCCCCGAAATATGCAAGTCCCAAAAACCATCAACACCAACCTCGTATTCCATTTACCATCTGCTTCCTCTCCACACTTCCAAATGAGATATCCTATAAGTCAGGGAGCTCATCAAGTGCTTTCCCTCCCTCTTACTATGTGCCCTACCTCCATTTCGAGGTGAAATCTCTAATCGGTCCTGACTTCCCCCCAACCTTTTCCTCCCCTCCCCCATCTTAACTAACGGGTTCGCCCCACAACCTTCTCTTGCGTTAGCCCAAAATGACCCATACCCATCTTTTTAGTGCTCGCTCCTGCATTGCGTACACCTAATATCTCCTTTTCTTACAATGGCGCTTTCTACACCCCCAACTCCGATCATAATATCTGCTTTTCTCCCAACATGCCTCCCAAACCCTTTCCGTAATTACCCGGCTCCACCGGGAAACTAGGCCCTTCTGCCCGCCCACCTCAGCACAAAACCAGGAGGCGCGGCGATCGCCATCGAAAGTGTTCGGGCCCGGTCTCTGTGGCAGCCATTTTACTCCTTTCGGCCTTACAGCAGGGAGGGTGACTGAGAAGGGTGGGACAAGAGATGCTGATGAGCATTCTGGGATGTGTAGTTGCGATTGGCATGGCTCTTTAGCGAAGATGGAGGAAGAGTACTATTACTACCAGAGATCCTCGTATCGACCAGGAAGTAGAGCACACGGTATGATGGGAGATGTAGTACCGGATATGCCACGGATGGGCCCGTATGAGAACGACCGATCCCGGAATGCCATGCGAAACTAAGGGGCTACGGTCTTAAATAGTTCGCTCGCAGGCGATCTAATTGCCTGTGCCAATTGATAAAATCCGCCATGTGCGGGGTGAGAAGGGGTCATATGTAGACATTCACATGCACACGCAAATGAGGCAAATGCATATTTCGCTCTCTCCTGAACAGCGCTTTTTATCGTTTCCCCAGCCAGTTATAAAAGATGGCAGAAACTGTAGCAGGGTTCACCCAATGTACCAGAACTTCTATTTTTAGGTATCAATAACAGCCTTGACAGAAAGGAATTCTGTAGAAGTAGGTAAAATTACAAACTTCACCAGCTAACTTTCTATCATTCCATGATTATTATTTTTGCAATATCTTGCAGATGTACCTACAATCCCCAAAAGGCAAAATTTAAATTAACACAGTATTTTTAAAAAAGGATTCTCACAAATGTGAAGGTTTGTGACAGCTTGGAAATGAGCAGGTATATCTCCAAGGATCTTAATAATGTTTCAATAATGTCTGGAAGCTAAGTCATGGCAACCGGACTTCTTTCTTTCTTTTGCTATTTGACTCAACTTTCAGACAACTCTACCTGGGTGACCTAGAATCTTCACTGACATATTTCAATAATTTGAATATTCAAATATAAGAATTGAGAAATGATCTTTGAAAGGTGCAGATTGATTGATACCCCCATCCCCCTTTCACGTCAACAACAACCAGATTTGTAAGGTCAAAGTCAGCTCCAATAAATACAAGTAGTCTTTGACTTACAACCTTTCATTTAGTGACCAAAGTTACAATGGCATTGAAAAAAGTCATTTATGACCATTTTTTACACTTATAAAGGTTGCAATATCCCCATAGTCATGTGATCAAAATTTGGACACTTGGCAACTGACTCATATTTATGATGTTTGCAGTGTCCCAGGGTCATATGATCATCATTTGCAACCTAACATGTAAACTTAATGGGAAAGAGAAATTCACTTTAAAGCAATGTTAATAACTTAATAACTGCAGTGATTCAGTTAACAACTATAACAAGAAAGATCATAAAATGGGGCAAAATTCACTTAATAACTGTCTTGCTTAGCAACTGAAATTTTGGCTCAGTTGGGGTTGTAAGTCAAGGGTTATCTTATACCAGTTTAGTTTAGTGGTTAAGGCAAACATGTCAAACACAAGGCCCGGGGGCTGGATGCGGCCCACAAAGTGGTTTCATGTGGCCCGCGAAGCCATCCTGGAAACAGTGAGGGAACGGCCCCCACTGCCTTGGTCCTGGCCCAGGCCGGCCGGGAGGGAGTCAATGTACAATTTTGTGGTGGCCATCTATGCTGAAACGCATTCAGTCTTAGCTCCATAAGCCCCCCCCCCGCATGGCCTGAGAGGAACAGTGAGACTCCTCCAGTGGACCATGCCTTGGCGCTTGCCCCAGTCCCACCCCCTTCTGCCAGAGACCCTCAGATCTATCCCACTCCTGCCCAGGCCCCCACAGGCCCCCTTGACGCGAACAATGTAGAGCTGGCCACGCCCACCCAGTAGGCCATGCCCACTCCATCCACGCCCACCCAGTAGGCCGCACCCACCCAGCCCCCTGAGGGCAACCGCAATGCTGATGCGGCCCTCAATGAAATTGAGTTGACACCCCTGGGTTAAGGCATCAGTTTGGAAAGCTGGAGATGTTGAATTCTAGTTCTTTTTTTTTTTCTTTTTTTTTTCTTTTTTTTTCCAAAGAAATTTTATTAATTTTCATCATAAAAAACAATCATAAGCATGAATAAACACAATAAAAAATAAAATCCCCCCCCCGGACTTCCCAAACCTAATCCCAGGATAATATTCATATATAAATAAACAAACACTAATATCTCTAACTTCACAAAATATCTTAATCTACATGAAAAGATAGAGAGAGTAAACAAAATAAGAAAATCTAAAAACCTAAATTGTATTCTACCACTCTATGCTTCTTTTGAATATAAACAATCCATCTTCTCCATATTGATAAAAATTGTTCATTCGAATAGTTCTTCAAATAAGCCGAAATCTTTGCCATTTCAGCAAAATTCGAAACTTTCAATCTCCAGTCTTCCATTGTAGGCAGAATTGGGCTCTTCCAATTTTGGGCTATCAGCAAACGGGCAGCAGATAAACAATAAAGCATCAAATTTATTTCTTTTGCATCTAAATCTTGCACAATACCTAAAAGAAANCAATTCTAATAAAACATTATATATCCTTTTAATATGTCCTTTAGCACCATCTCTTACTTGCTTCAAAAAATTCCCGTCTTCCAAAACAAAAATGGTCTTTTTATCAATTCGCCATCTATCTTGAATTTGTCTATACAGAAGCCAAGAAAAATTTGGGTTATTTTGCTTCAAAACTTCTATTGATTTTAAACACCAGTTGATCTAGTTCTGTCTTAGGTATGAAAGTCAACTAGGTGACTTTGGACCACTCTCTTTCACCCCAACTTAACACACAGGGTTGTGGAGCAAATAGGAAGAGAAAGATCTGTTGGATATGTTCTCTGCCTTGGGTTATTTGTGAAAATAAATGTGGGATATAAATAAAAATAAAATAAAATATTTGCTCTGACTCACATAAAATCTTCCTTTTTATACTAATATGGGGCAAGTAACCCATATTTAGCCATGCATTTTAAAAGTTTTTATCTTTATACTTCGTATTGTATCATAAATGGTGGTTTAAAAACTAAGGCAAAAATTAAATCACAACTGTGTGTTAACCATGGTTTACCTAGCTATTCTATTATGATTTACCCAATGATCCTAATTTTGCACAATACATTCAGTTCTAAGATAGCTGGCTCATGTATTTTAGCACATTATGTAAGCCAGACCATCACAAGAAGATATAATGTATTTTGTTTTAACAAATCATAGAAATATAAATGTTACAGACCGCTAATTATTCCCCTTGGCTTATAGTTCAGTGTTTTGGACAGACACAATTATTCCTTATTTGAGGATAAGCCCACTAATAATCTTGCATTATTTCAAAAATTGATCTACATACACACTTAATACCAGCTTTTAAGATCCAGCAACAATGCGTATCTTCAGAGGATTTAATTAAAAGACATAAACTGGATTACTATGTAGAGAAACTCATTTATTTATTTTATTT